GGTTTTTTTGATTGTAATTTAATTGGTTTTCTCTTTTTGGGTGGTGGAAGTGGGTCCCAGAAGTGGCAAGTTGACCAACGGGAAAGCCAGTTGGTGACTGAATTCGGTTCGGTTGGATCGTATTGGATGTTCAGGGGCATTTTGGTCTTTAATGAAGTAACAAGCTGAAATTATCAGAAAAAGGGTATATATGTCAAATTCTTAAAAAATCATAATAGCAAGTTAGCAACCTCTTAAATTGCTTTATTCAATAAATTAGATCAAGGCAAATAACTAAAAAACCATTATATTTTTTTAATCATAATTAATACATTAATTATGTGTAAAAATCCTCTAATACAATATATCAATAAATAAATAAAAAGACTATTTTATTATTTATAAAAGTTTATAAAAAATTGAGAGTACCTTAACAGCAAACGCATTTGTTGACAGCTTCTCTGATTTGAGGGATATTTGAAGCAAGTCAACCTCTTCCTTTTGCTAATAAAACATACAAACAGGATTAATTGCACAATTTTTTTTTTCTTATTAAACTTTAAAAAATATCTACCCAATTATATAAGCGAAAATTGCTAGGTAGATTATTCAAAATATGTTGCTATACCTAGGAGCACATGAAAAGAAAAAAAAAAAAAAGATGAGTAACGAGTTACCAAATCCAAATGTTCTTGTGGTGTTTCTTTTTGAAGAATTTGAGGAAAGCTTCCGGAAAGTCTGACTATTTGACCACGAACAACTGCCTGAAACTCAACAATTGCACGCATACATTGTAAAGTTGCAACAGCTTGTCTCCTCACCAAATGCCCACGAATAACTGCTTGGAGCCTTATAATGCCTTTAAGTGCCCAAAATGCCCTTCGAGCCTTCACAGAGTTATATTTATATCAGTAAAAGTATCACACTTATTAAGATTTAAAAAAAAAAAAAAAAAACATTTTTCTTAAATAAATTGTTATTATGTGTAAAAAACAGTAACTATGTTGCTATTATAAGTAAAAAAAAATTGTAAGTATGTTTCTATTTCCTGCAATGTTCTTGTAATATGCTTCCAGAAGCTTACCAAGTATCCCCTGAAAGCTGCTTGTGTCTTTGTAGCAGCCTGTTCTAGTCTGATTAACTCATCATCATTTGCAGCATTTATTAAGTTGCCACTGGAGCTGGAGTTCTTCTCTAACTGTGATTCTTCTCCATTTATGTTGCTGACGTGGCACACTGGTGTTGATATGATAGTAGAGTCAGCAGCAAGATCATTTGATTGTGTGTTGAGAGTAATAGAGGTCTTTTTGTCTAAAGTAGCATCCTTCAAGAATAATAAGATATCAAATCAACATGTATATGTGTTTTACAAGTAACAGGTGTAACTGTGAACTGTAAATTAACGCTTTTACTTACTTTTGAGAGATTAGATTTTGATGACTTCTTCCCAAAAAGAACAGTTTTCATCCACTTTCCAGGAGATTTCCCCATTGTTGAAGTGTAACAAGTAACAACCTCAAAAGTCCCTGTATTACATAAATGAATTCTTAACAAACTAGAAGGAAAGAATCATAAATCCCACAAAGTAACAAGAACAAATGATGTCATTCATGCATGGATTTATTTAGTATTAAAGTTTAATGTTTCAAAAACCAGTTTTTCCCCATTCAAACTCTTTCTCCATCACTTGTACAAACATGGAAATGTGTCAAGAGTTTTTCCTCCTTATTAGAGCTTCACGTTGTTAATAAAAAAGATTCAGGAAAAAAAAAAAAAACTAAAAAAACAATACATTTACTCACCAGTCAACGAATTCATGTATCAATAATAAGAAAATTAACAAATTCACTTGTGCTAATCGTATTATCATGGTCTATAAGTAATAAAAACCTAAAAAATCTCCCAGATATAATTAGATATAAACAAGTTTGGTAAGTAAAACCAAAAGTCCAAAATAAGCACCGAGGTAATTATAGAATACGATTATCGTGTAATTATGTAACAGGTAGAGATACAAAAGACAACTAAAAGCCTATTGCAAACATCATACGCAATACAGGCATCGAATTAAAGCAATGTATCTATAACTTAGCACAGATCTGTAACAGCGCCAAACTTCAAGTTATGAAAAATAGAATTACACGACGACCTAGGTTTTTAACAAGTGTGCTTCGGATCTGGAAATGTACCTGATCAATAAATCGCTCTTAAAACCCTATTTTGTCAACTTGCAAAACCGCAACAAAATTTAAACTGGAAGAAAACAGAGACAATATCTTTGAAGACACATAAAATTAGCGAAAACACAAACAAACGAGATTGAAAACCAAAATTTTGATGGGTTTTACCATGAATTGAAGCATGAAGCCTGCGTCGCCTCGCCTCTACTTTCTCTCACTAGACAGAGTGTGAGTGTGGATTTTGGTTTCGCTATTGATTGTTGGGAGCATGTAAAAAACAAAATTTCGAATTTCGAACTTAAAACTTCGCACTTTTAAGCTATTTTTTGTATGTTTCCTTTTCCTAATTATTATTTTGTTGCACACACAAAAAAAAATAAAACAACTTTTTACTTGATATATAAATATACAACTATTGGGTGGCCTGTTGTCCATATAATTTTTCTAAGGCCGGGAGAAATGGACTTGATAAGCACTCGCTATGGATAAGGAATACCGTTCTGACACTACTCGTCAAGGTAAGCTCGTTATGGATGTAGCGAGAGGAAAGAAGGTGGATTGGTGGCTTCTGATTGGTTTTTAGCTATTGTTTTCTTTCTTTTTTTTCCTTCAAAATCATATCTATTAAATTAATAATTACAATCCCTATTTTTTTGTACTAGACGTACTAAGCTTATATGACATAAAGATTATATATACTAAGCTTATATGTATAAACATACGTGACAATATACTCGGAGTGTTACCATTTCCTCCAAGCTAATATTTTCTTACATATGGGTAAATTTGCTATTAGACAATGACAATTTATCTGGTTTTGTGAAAAAGGTGGGTTAATTTTTATAATTTTGTTTTTTTAGGGATTATTTCTGTAATTTTATGAAAAACATACATACTTTTGTGAAATATAAGGCCCATTATGAAAAACATACATATTTATAACTTTATGAAACATAGGAATCATTTCCATAAATTTGTTATTTGGAGGGACCATTTATGTAATTTTTTGAAACATCAGGACCATTTTTGTATAAATAGTTCTATAAATTACAATACCATTTTTATAAATTTTTGCTATGTAGGGGACAATTCTGTAAAATGCAACGATGGGATAAGAATACCCTGTAAACATTTTATAATTGGTTCTTTTGCCTGGCTTCGTGTTGGGCTTCGTTTTTCTTTTTCCTTTATAAAAGATTGGTTGTTTCTAAAAAAAACAAAGAACACATCAACATTTAATAAGTAGGAAGCAAGATTTAAAAAATAAATAAATAAACGCCTTAATAGTCGCAAAAGCAAGTACGGGCACCACAATCACAACCATGCAAAAGGAATAAAACGACCAAAGTAACAATCGACTTAATTTCATGTAAGTTAATCTTTAAACCTTAAGCCATATAAAAACAATGTAGGTATCAAACAATATTGGTAATGTTGGAAACCATCAATTCACCAATAAAGGCAGTGTCATTTGTTAAAATATATGAGAAACATCGACACTAGCATGAGAACCAATAGAGAGACCCGTGAAAAAAACCTCTCTTCATCGCATTCATGTATGTGGCATGCAAACTTTTCATGACCAATAAACAAAAACGGAGAAAATGAGGAACCCTCTATGAAACTAGAACTTGAATGTGAGAATACCAACGACCATGATTGTTCCCCTAGAAGAACTCATACAACATCGGAATCCAGCCCCTCCCTTAGCACCACGACATATACTATCGAGAATGTCATCAAGAAAATCTTATTGTATACCGAAGCTTTTTCAAAATCTATCTTGAACATCACAACTTTATTATGATTAGACTCGTACCAAGCCACAATCTCATTCATAATTATGGGCCATCCAGAATCCATCTAACTACAATAAAAGTTGTTTGCTCAGTACTAAATATATGATGCACCACCAAGCTCAAATGATTAACTAATACTTTGTCAATAGTTTTATATTGACAACCTATTAAACCAATAGGTTTGAAGACATTGACAAATTTTGCATCATGCACTTTGGAAATCAATACGATAAAATATGAATAACATTCTCTAAGAAACATGTTAGAATTGAAAATTTCTAACACCTTAACCACATCACCTTCTGTGAGGTACCATAACTTTTTGAAAAAAAATCAAAAGTTAAACTATCTAGCCCTAAAGATTCTCCAGATTGACAATCCCCACTATTCTTTTACATTCATCACGATTCACAAGTCACATCAATTCAGAAAGGAGTAAAAGTTTCAATCATAAAGGAAAGGATTATTGATTACTCGGTTGACATATTTCAGGAAAGACTCGAAGATATAAGTAAGGATGCAAACAAGTCAAGCTACTTGTGAGCTACTAGGAATCGAATCGTTAAAAGCTTAACTCGAAACCGGTTTTAAACGAGTCCGAACCTAGCTCAAGCTTAATATTAAGCTCTGAGCTTAAGCCTATGTCACTAAGCTTGATAGGTTTGTGAGCCTAAACGAGCTTGTATATAATATAATTTAATATTATGTCTATATATTAAAATAAAAACATATTTGGAGATTAAGGATTTAGAATATTATTAAAAGAGCTTTTTAACGAGTTCGATCTGAGCTTAAGTTTATTTAGACATGTTAGACAAAAAATAAATCGAACTCAAGCCCAAACCAAACTTGTATAATTCTTTACGAGCTCGAACCAAGCTCAGTACAATAAAGCTCGAATCAAGTCGAGCCCAAGCCCCGTATAATTTAAATGAGCCCAAGTCGAGCCTAACCAAACTTGAGCTTAACTCGGCTCGTGTGCACCCCTAGATACAAGTACAAGACCTACTAGGTTTGGAAAACCGATCCACCAACTAAGGGGAAAGAATCCAACTTCACTCAATCATGAACAACGCCCGAATCACCATCAACTAACACCCCACAAAAAAAAAAAAAGTTAATTGAACCCATTGTGGAGTTGGTGTTGAAAAAAAAAACGACTATTTTGTGAAAATGCTTCAAAACAATTCTTCTGAACTTCAAGTGACAATATCGAGTACAAACTATATCGATAATACACAAGATTTAGTAAAGTAGGTATGAAGAAGTAACAAATACTAGCATAATTTAAGACCCATAATACAGTACAAGAAACCATCGTATGTACACAGAATATATGTCCAACAATAAGCAAACAACAACACATAGAATAGAAACTAGAAAGCTTAAATTCCCTAAATACTTCCATGCCATAAAAAGCTTGAAATAAACATAACTTTTACTAACCAGTCTTATTATTGATAATAATATTTGGTGGGGTTTTGATTTTTGAAGCAAATACATATCTCATAGAAACAGACCACCATACCACGAGAATTTGATCTTAAAATGATTTGAGTACATATATATTTAGTCGGCTGTCCAGCTCTGCTCCACAATTTCACGCACTTTTCTGTTATATTCGCGCTTATTCTCACTAAACATTCTTGCTGCTTCTGAATTTGCTGGTGAGTTTGGATTTGGATCACATAGCAATGACTATATAATAATAACAATCATAGAAAAAGATTAGCCAATAAAACATTAGTCAATATGTTGTGTTAACATTGAATCAAAGAAACTGTATACCTGAATTGATGTAAGGATGGCAGCAACATCATAAATTGGACTCCATTGATTTTGAAGAATGTCCAAACATATGCTTCCATCTGCATAAACTAATGAGCGAAAAAAATGCAATGGAGTTAAGACAATGTCACCATGTGAAGAGCAAGAAACACTCAACTTACTATTGGGGTGAAACATTCGAGAAATGAATCGCACTGTTGGTGGTTTGTTGGGATAATCTTCTGAAAACTGGAGTGTCAGCTTGAACGTACCTGAGATCAGTTACATATCAAGAAGAAAATACACAAATTAATAAAATAGAATTTATGATAAAGATGGGAATCCCTTTAATCATCTGTCATTTATGGACTAATGAGTGAAAGATGAAATCCAAACTCACCTCCATCCCATGGAGTGTCATCTGGTCTGAAAAGCAAATAGAAGTGATCAGTGAATGATCATTTCATTTCAAGAAAAAAAAAAAGACCATATGATGATGAAAAGAAGATGAAATTACACTTCCACATACCCAAAAATGACAGCATTCCATAGCATTATATTGTTATCCACAGGTGCACCACTGATACCAGCAGGGGGATCCTGCTGCAACCTCTTAAAGTCCCTCATTAGCCTCTTCCTTGAAGGTGTAGACATTTTCCTCCCCTGTTACAACTGAATTCAATGAACAGGAAAAAGTAAGAACATTCTCGTGTCGTCTACATGTTAATCATCTACATAATTGATGCCATGAGTGTTTGGATGTGTGTTTCAGTGTTTGTAAAGTGATTCTTGCGTATTATTGTGAATAATTAGTTTCGAACTTGTTTACTTACTGATCCAGAGAGTATATAATCAGAAAATTAGAGTCATAAGCTCGAAATCGCACTTTTGCATGCAATCAAAACGCAATAATCATTTTATAAGAACATACAACCCCTAGAATCATCGTGAAAACAGAACCACACAAAAGAAACAAGTTCCCTAATCAAATTATTAGAATGTGAACCCTAGATCTATAAATACGGACCAATTTCACAAAACATGAAGCGATTTTAAAACCGAAAACCCAATTAGAGACGGTTTTGTTGTTCAATTCTAGGATTCAGGTATGTACGTTGACTATGGAGATGATTATGTGACAATATGAATGTGGAGTAAGAGAGAAATGGAAGACATGGAGGAGGATTTTGCCTGAGGGGTTAAGCAGCGGAGATCGGCGGTGTGGGTGAACCAGAGTGAAGAGGAAAATGATGATCAGCCGCCGGTAGCCGTGGGGGAATCCGTGACCTCCCTCTGCAGTTTGGCCTTTTAAACTCGTGTATCGGAAACGAAGATGAAGGTTCGACTTCGCGTAACATGTAAGCTGGTGATATATCGTTTGTATGTCGTCATGTCGGCATAACACATTTGTTAAAATAGAATAATACCAAAAAGTAAATTAAAAAAAATAATAATAACATATATTTCCTATAAACTTTTTACGGTTTATTCATTTAGTCATTTAACTTATTTTATGGTTTTATAAGGGAACAAATTACACTGTGTCGGGTCGATTAGGTTCTTTTGGGCAAAATGAAATGGTCATCCGGTTACCCTTTTGCCATATCAGATATTTGTTGACCAACTATTCTTTAACCCAGTACTATTCATCTTCTTCCTCATCGCATATCCCTCAGTCATGTTACCTGATACACATTAGTAAACATCAAAAATCATGTTGTCATGTTCTGATTACGCCGATAATTATGTGAGGTTAACAAAGTACACACCCTGTAACATTCATCCCAAAATATTGTCGCTAATTTCTAATTTCTTGTTACTAGGACCTTCGCTTTTATACCATTAGCTCCTTACTCACCTGATTCTTCCTCTTATTATCGTCATTGGTGCTACAATGGTGAAAAAAGGGATCGAAGAATGGCAAAGACAACAACAGGTATGTTCATAAGTTTGAAATTAGATATTTCATGATTGAATGGTAGATCTTATAGGAAGTTAAACCTCATTTATTTTCGAAATTTCTAATTTATTTTCAGGATCATGAGGTTAGTAATCGAAAAAGTTAAAGTTCATAGTAGTGGTGGAGTTTTCGAATCGAGCCAATGGAAGAAACTAAGAGTGGTTATATAGTGAAAGTAGAAAAAGATGAATTCTTCCCTGCAGATCTTCTATTGCTTTCATCCAGCTACGATGATGCAATTTGTTATGTTGAAACAATGAATCTTGATGGCGAAACACAGATTCCAAGCTTCGAAGCACAGATTACATCTATGGCTCCCCTGCAACTACACCGGCCACCGCCTACAAACATCGATTGCATCTTTTCTGCTTTCGTTCTCCACCTTCGTCGAGTCAACCAGGCATCGAAGTGCTTCCCACTTTTCTGATTTTAGTTGCATTCCTCTTCATTCTCGATCAACTGCCTTTGTTACAAACTCTTCGATTTTAACACACAGGAAAATGATGAACAAGAAAAAAAAATAGGCCTAATTTTTGGATATGTGACACTCAAACCGGTTATAACAAGTCAAGATGACTAAAAAGACAGGTAGCCCATGGGTTTGTTCCCTTATAAAGTCACTTAAAAAGTTGAGTGATTAAAAAAGTTAACCCTAAAAAGTTTATAGGGAATATGTCATTTTACCTATAAAAAAAAAAAAGAAAAAAAAAGGTTATACATTTGTAACTTTTATTTTTTATAGGTTTAAGCATTTAACTTGTTATGTGTGTTTAAATATTGTCATTGTCATCGACTATAGCAGATGACGATGGTAATATATAAACAAATTAACAAGTTAAATGGTTGAATGTGTATAAAAAAGTTGCTTAAATATGAATAAAATGAAAAGTTAATTACCCTAATAGTTCGTTTTCTCTATTTTTTTATAGCGTTTTTCCGGGGTGGACCTAGAGGGGGTCCACCGACAACCCTTGATTTTTCCGGCCTCAGTGGAAAAATTTTCAAAATTTTTATTTTTTCTATTACTGTGCAACTTCTGACTTTCCCGTGCAACCCTACAGTAAAATCATACGTCCGTCCTTGACGATTTTATTTTTCATATTTGTTTGTATTATTTTTTTAAAACGTTATTTTTAAAATATCCATAATTTCCTAAATATTAATTAAATGTTGATAAATTTTAGAGTTTACTTTTTAATTAATAATTATGTTTTTGTTTTGAGAAATATTTTATATAGCTTCTTATAATTTTTTTTAATCATATACAATATTTTTAAAGTAAATAATATCTAACAATAAAATTAAATAAGTTAACTATGTAACAATAAGTATAAAGACTCTTTTGAAAAAATAAAAAGAAAATATTATTTAGCAAATAAAAATCTATATAATGTAAATGTTTTAAAATTATTTCAGTTTTTTAATACTTTTTTATTAGAAGTTTATAAACTTTTAATTTTTTAATACAACGTTTTAAATTAGTATTAAACGAAAGTATTTTAAAATGTTATTAAAAAAAATAATAAATTGTCATACAAAATCTATAAAACACTTTAAAAATGTTGTAAAAGAAAAAGTATAAATAAATGTATGAAAGTTATAAAAAAATTGTATGAAATGTAAAAAAAAAAAAAAAAAAAAAAAAAAAAAAAAAAAAAAAAATTAAAACATTTATAAAATATTTGTTTTAAAAGCACTTTTACTAAAATTATATGAAAGTACAAAAAAAAAAAAAATTATAAGTAAAGTTTAAAACATTGTATTAGAAAAACTTATAGGAAAAAAATATCATAAAAATGTTATAGTGTGTGACAGTGGTAATATGTGAACACATTTAACAAGTTAAATGATTAGATGTGTAAAAAAAATGAAGTTACCTTAATGTGATGTAACATCCCATTTTTCAAGACCAAAATTTCATTTTTAATATAACGACTTACAAAAACAATTATAAGAAAACGTCATAGTGTCACATCATATCATAAAACCATATTCATATGTCTCAAAAAGCATTTTATGAAATAGTAATAATGTCAAAGTATAATCCCAAGAATCTCATAATGCGAAAATCCTGTGTGGGTGTGATGTGCTGCTACCGTGTCATCTCCTCCCCATTCGTTGAAAATGTACCTAAAAACAAAACTGAAAACCGTAAGCACCAAGCTTAGTGAGTTCCCTCATCATACCATATACCACATAACTAACATAATGTCGGACAATTCGGTGGTGCCCAAGCTACCCTGTCTGGCAATTATGGGGTGTCGACTTGCCCTGTCTAGCATCTATAGGGTGCCGACCTACCCTGTCTGGCATTTCTGGGGTGTCGACCTACCCTGTCTGGCATTTATGGGGTGCCGACCTACCCTCCGATTTATCTCAACCAGCTATGAGGACTATTCCACCCTTACTACTACCACATAATAGCATAACCATACTGTCGGGCATATATGGGGTGCCCGACCTACCCTTCGGCCCTTACAACTGTCACACGGGGACTATTTCCCCTACTACCTACTATGTAACATCCTGATTTCCCAGGTATATTATTTTATTTAATTATTTTGGAGTTTAAGGAGGAACTCAGCGAGTTGGAGCCAAGACTCGCCGAGTAGGGTCGCGGATGTTCATTCGGGTTCACGTCCGGACTCGGCGAGTCCAAGCTGTTTAATGAAACCCTAATCCCCCGGGTTTGGAGCCTATTTAAGGGCACTTATAGCCTCCCATTGCGGCTACTAGTCCCTTGAGAGAACCCTAAGTAAGCCAAATCGTTGTGAGGGAGAAGAAGTCACTTTTTGATCCTTGAACCCTTGGTTTAGCAAGAAGAAGGTGACAAGAGCAGATAGGAGGTGCGATTCAAGCAGTTCCAGAGTTCAGAGACATCATTTTGAGGTAATGGTTCGAACCTCCTTCAGTTTTGGTGTTGATCATTAGATTTAGGGTTTTCTAACCCCATTGGAGAGTGGTTATGTGGAGCAAATGGTCCCTCTTCGAGTTTGTGCCTTGGATCTGGACTCAAATAGGTCCAGAGACCTTGACCCTTGGAGCTTTATGGACCAGTTTGGGGTTATTGGCCTTAGGTTGCCATTTTTGGGACTAAATGTCCTTTTGATGCCTTATTGTGGTTATACAAGCATCAAGTTTCGAACTTTACGTGACATTCATGCTTAGGGAGGCCATATCTATGGTTTGGGGAAACAGATCTGACCTCAGGAGGTCAGTAGAGTTTGTGCATGGCATGAACTCGCTGAGTTGTTCTTGAGACTCGGCGAGTAGGGTTAGGGTTTCACGTAAATTGCTCAGTGAATAGACTTTCCGAGTTGGGGGATGACTCAATGAGTCGTGAGGGGGTTAGAGGACTGGAGTTCAAGGCGGTACTCGCCGAGTTGTTCTTGAGACTCGGCGAGTTGAGTCGGGGTGGCCCCGCGATTCCTGTCTAGTATGAATCGTCGAGCATAGGGAGGGACTCTACGTACCAAGCGGGACAAAGAGTTAATGGACATGTGTGTACTCGTCGAGTCACCAGAGTGCACTCGGCGAGTTGGGTCAAAGTTTGACCATTGACTTTGTTGACCTTTAGGGTTTGGTCAGCAATGTGGCCTTTGGGCCAAGAAGGGGGTAAAATGGTCTTTTACCCTTAAGAGGGTGCCAAGAGAGGATTGAGTCTAGTCTCGAGAGTTATGTTCAAGAGAGCATTTGCCTTATGTGATAGATGGTGGCGAGTTCGAGATGCAAGCGTGAGGATATCTGCTTCTTACTTGCCAGGTGAGTCTTCTCACTATACTTTACCTTGAGTAGGTAACCAGAGTTATGTGACAGAGTATTTGTATGCTATGTATGTTATGTGTTGTACTACGTTATTTCTATGTGATTTATGTTGTGCATGTTTACATAGTTAGAACCGGAAGGTTCCCAGAGTTAGAACCGGAAGGTTCACAGAGTAGGGTTCACGGACCCACAGAGTTATAGCCTCGAGTGGCTAATATGTGTTATGTGTCGTATTTTGGGTAACTCGCTAAGCTTCGTGCTTACAGTGTTTTGTGTTATGTGTTTCAGGTTTCTCTCAGGATCACGGGACGGCACCGGCTTGATTGTACACACCAGAGAAATAGTCATGTCTTGAGGATCCTGGTTTATTATGCAAGTGAAAATGGAGTTATGTTTTGTAATTCGATTATGAATGAGATATTAAGAAAAGTGTTTTTAAGAATTAAACCATTATATTTAAATGAAAAATTGTTTTGAAATTTACGGTGTTACATACTATCACATAACATCATATCATACTAGTACATAATCATAACAAATAGCACATACCAAATAATTATCACGGTGACAATCATCTCTACTATAACCCTTACTAGTGGGCCGACCTTGGTGCCTTAGACCCACTTCTACCGGAAAGGTAACTCACCTCAATGTCGTGCAGTAACTGAACTGTCCTCGACGTTGGGATCAACTCCTCTCAAACTCCTACACATAACAACCTTCCTTAATTACCATTTCATACTTGTTACCCTTTCAAGGGTCAACTCAGGTCAAATTCAAAGTCAAGGTCAACACCTTGGTCAAAGTAAACTTTTGGTCAAAGTCAACATCTGGTTGACTCAACTCGCCGAGTTGGTCCACCAACTTGTCGAGTTCCATAATCCACAAAATACTGGAACTTCGATCCTACTCGTCGAGTTCTCCTTCATACAGACGCGGGACCTTTTGCTCATGACCCGTCGAGTTCATCATTGAACTCGTCGAGTCCTCCTTCATGTAAGTTGGAACGTTTAGCCCTTGACTCGCCGAGTTCTTCTTTGAACTCTGATATGTGCATATTCAGTGTGTATTAAGTATAGTTTTTTATTCATATATTAGCTAAATTATCACATATTATGGACAAAAGGTACTTAAAAGTGTTAAATTATGTTTTTCAGTCCAAAGATGAAGCTCGGAAGCAAAAGGAAGCAGGAGAAGCGGTTAGGGGCTCGAGAATGGAATGAAGAAGAAAAACACTAAAAATGGCACCTACTCGTCGAGTCAGATAGCCTACTCGACGAGTCCGGTCGAAGAATCAGAAAGATAATGACTCAGGATTCCAAATGGTTATCGCAATACGGGGAATGTGAGAGGGACTCGACGAGTCACCACTTGACTCGACGAGTCGATTCGCTTATTTAAAGATAACTCCACAGATCGATTAGAAGGAGTTATGGGACGGTTCAGAAGTGTTTTGCTGCGATTGAGAAGCCAGAAAAACCCTAGAAGTCGATAAAGAAAGCTAGAATTCAATTCCGGGGAGTAATTAAGGCACAATTTCATCATTCCACTTATTCTTTTGTTTTATCAATATGATTAAGCAACTTGACTTTGTTTGTTTGCTGTTATTTACTTTAATTATGAACTAAAACCTTTAGACTTCTGTTTGGGGATACAAAGTTG